TATTTTGGGTACCTCCCGAACAAAAGTTCGATTTTTCAAGGAATTTTAAACTAACATACCGATTTAATACCAAAAAGGTGGGTTGGCGGGTGCTAGATTGTTCCTGGCCCTCATTATTTTGATGAAATAAATAGGGTGGGCATGATAAAACCCACCTGGGTAGCCTATTTTAGGTACCTCCCGAACAAAAGTTCGATTCTTTGAAGGTTTTTCATAGGCTAGGTATCCTAGGGTACATCTGGGGTGGCTGGAAATTTAATGGTTTCCAAGTCTAACGAAACACAAACGTTTGGTACTTGCAGAATTTCGTTTCCTATTCTGGTATTTGAGCAATCGTGCTAACAAATTTTTGCGTACAGCGTACAGGGTACGACACACTCACATTAACATAGCAAAATAACCACTGTATCGTGCTTTTTGGTGTCAAAAATGGAAAAAAAAATGGTTTTTCGGGGTACCTAGGTTTTAGAGTGATTACAATACTTTTACTCACGACATGGGCGTGCGAAAAAGTAACAATCAAATCCATTGTTTATTGTTATTGTTTACGCTTCAATCAAATGACACAGACTGAAAAAGACGCGTAATGACAGTAGCTTTCCAATGAATATTTGGAAAAATGGAATAATAATCTAGTTACGCCATCTTTTGTGAAACGGCACGAATTAATTCACACTCGCAATACTATTATTTATTCGGTGTCTTCATTCTTACATCCAGTTGTACAATGGTTGAGATCTACTATTTAAATGACTATACAAATTACAACCACATTACTCAGGGAACAATATAGGGATTTTTTTCCATTTTATCATTTCATTTTTTGTCCAAGAATGTTGGGTTTCTAAATAAGTTACCAGTCCATATATATACATTTTTGGGACCGAATATTTGCTATTTTTTGTCGATTGCCATTGTTTTTTTTTTCATCATATTCATTACACAATATTATTTCATTCTTATTACATTTTAAGGCAATTTGAAGAAAAAAAGAAAGAGAGTTAGTAGGCGTTAGTTATTATAAATTGGAAGCGAAATGACGGTCGCCCCAAATCGGCACACAAAATTCCGTTTCTCACACAAATTTTCTAATTTTGACATAATTTTTCCGATTTTTGACTCAAATTTACTAAAAATGTACACTCATTTTTTTTCATTTTTGACTCAAATTTTTTAAAATCTCACACAAAATTTATTTTTTCCACTCAAATTGTGCAACTCAATTTTCTGAAATTTGACTCAGATTTTTCAATTTTTCACGCAAAAATTATTTTTCTCACTCAAATTTCTGATTCGCACATAAATTTTAGAATTTTGACTCAAAATTTATTTTTTTGACTCAAAATTTATTTTTTGGACTCAAATTTACGAATCACACATAAAATTATTTTTTTGACACAGATTTCATATTTTTCACTCATTTTTTTTGTTTATCTTTAGTTACAACTTTAGATGAATTTTCATATCAAGTATTAGTATTTTACTAATATTCGACCATATTTTAAAACTAAAATTATGATTTCAATTTGAAGAAAACACGCACGCCGTTCTGGTTCCTTTTTTGGGTGCATCAGGATCTTCACACCGAGCGCACTTGTTCTGGTCTTATGCTTCCTTTCTACTCCTCTATCTCATTTTATAAAGCTATCCCTCACTTTCTTTCATATATTTTTAACATAATAGGAGTATATATAATTCTAGTATAGTAGTTAATAATTGTAACAAAATTTTAATGTAGATGGACAATCATCTGCTGATTAAATTTCTGCCCAAAAAACTATTTTCATCACATATATTATATATAACTTATACATATTATTTTATAAATTCTCTGTTGTTATTTCATTGGGAGGCATTAGGAATTCCCCGCACGCGTAGCGCGCGGAAACCCAGGAATCCATATGCACCAAACGCAGAGTGGTGGAAGAGGAATCGCGCGCGCGTGTGATTCGTAAATTTGAGTCAAAAAAATAAATTTTGAGTCAAAAAAATAAATTTTAAGTCAAAATTCTAAAATTTATGTGCGAATCAGAAATTTGATTGAGAAAAATAATTTTTGCGTAAAAAATTGAAAAATCTGAGTCAAATTTCAGAAAATTGAGTTGCACAGTTTGAGTGGAAAAAATAAATTTTGTGTGAGATTTTAAAAAATTTGAATCAAAAATGAAAAAAATTGAGTGTACATTTTTAGTAAATTTGAGTCAAAAATCGGAAAAATTGTGTCAAAATTAGAAAATTTGTGTGAGAAACGGAATTTTGAGTACAATTTTTTTTTTACCGCGAAATGACTACACGAACGATCACATAAGAATCATTTCTTTGCGTCGCTTTTTAAATGTGTTAAGAGAATATGCAGTAGTAATAAGTATTTTGGTTGGCCTATGTTCGTTAGAACTCAGTGCAATTACGGTAAATGCTTTTGAGTCCAAGATTGGTACGTGCTCTTTCGAAACACGGCCTTGTGTTAATACTCGTCGGATATCTATGGTTGCTTGTGCTGTTGACATGGTATTTAATTTTCATTAGTCCCTTTTGAATTTTGTAAATCATTGATATATTATTTTTATGTTTATACTTATTTGTAGTTCTTTTTATTTCCTACAACAATGCCGAGGACACCTAATCGTTATCTATTTTCAGTAGTGAGACAAATGCAAAAAACGTCTTTTCCGCTCAATGCTGACAAGAAAACCGTCCCAACTGTAACACGTCGATTTTAAAATTGAATACACAGATCGATGGGGAATGAAAAAAATCTTGCTTGTTATTTACTATCCATTTCTTTCAACTGTTTTTGTTTCGAATAAGAGTTTTTATGCGGTGAGAAGTTCGTTTCCTGCTGTCTTTTTTCCCTCCATTTCAAAGTTAAATGAACAATATATAAATGCGAATATATGATGATACTACTGTGTCCAAAAAGTAAGGTGACATTGCATTTATTTTGAAAATTCTTTATTTATTCTTCCAAATCAATTTCAATTAGTATTTTGTATTTTTTGGGGAGTCTTTTGTATTTTTTTGGGGAGGTTTTTGTATTTTTTTGGGGAGGTTTTTGTATTTTTTTGGGGAGGTTTTTGTATTTTTTTGGGGAGGTTTTTGAATTTTTTGGGGAGTCTTTTGTAATTTTTTGGGGAGGTTTTTGTATTTTTTTGGGGAGGTTTTTGTATTTTTTGGGGAGGTCTTTGTATTTTTTTTTATATTTTTTGGGAAGGATTTCGTGGAAAACATTTGATTTTTTGAGGAGTTTTTTGTATTTTTTGGGGAGGTTTTGGTATTTTTTAGTGAGGTTTTGGTATTTTTTGGGGAGGTTTTGGTATTTTTTGGGGAGGTTTTAGTAATTTTTGGGGAGATTTTAGTAATTTTTGGGGAAGTTTCTGTTTTACCCATGAGAAAAGTGCATTTTATTTCATTTTCCATTGATCGTTGCGCAGTTATACGATTATCGTGGTTAGATAGGGTTGTTGTCAAACTTATAAGCACTATTTACATGTAATTTAACCACTGATTTGTGCAAAGAAATCGAACGAAATTGTGTGAAATGACGAGAAAACGTGTTTTTTATGCAAATGGCTTACATGATTTCGAGGATTTTGCGGAATGCGAACCATTTTTGTCTTCCTGAAGAGCTAGGAGACAGATACTTCATGCAATGTTCTAAAACGTTTCAAGATATTCATTTTTTCTTGAGAAACTGGCCTCCTATTTCTCACCAGGAACATATGGAATACCGATTCCCATGTAATTAAGCGCATTTGGCTAATCCCATTTTTATAATCAACAACACATATATATGTACATGATAACCCTTCATCACGAATTGAACAAAAAATACTTCAAAGTAAATTCATATCATCACTGTGCACTCCAACATCACATACACTAAATTCCTTTGGTGCACACTTTGTTTTTTCATTCCATCTGAACAAACACAAAAGTGGTGTGTTGGGCTAAAGCTGTTTTCGAAAAATGATTATTCGTTTGTTGTGCGATGTTTCGCTCTTATTAGGAGCATCATCAGGCTGGAGAACAAAAATGTACACAAAAAACAATGAGTAAGTGTTAAAACAATTGGCAACAGCCGGAAATAACCAAATTACGAACCAGTCACATCTGAATTTGAAATGTTTTCTATCAATTTCCACAAATTGTATCAGCTACACGTATCCATCAAAGGAATTTTGTTATTGAGCTTCATTTAGTGTCTGAAAATGATTACACTATGCAACAACAAGAAACAACCATAGAGAAGAGAACTTATTTTCAATGTTTTTGGGCCCACTTAATCCAAATCTGGCGTTAGTTTGTCCTGGCACGTCTAGTTTTCAAGATACGTTCATTGCTGTTTCCGTATCAGATTTGGATTAAGTGGGCCAAAAAAAACCTTGGAAATGAGTCTCCTCTTTTGGGGAGGATTTCGTTTTCGAAATTTATTGCATAGTGTTATTAGACCTGAATTCATAAATTCCATAACTGAAAATTACCACAATTCATCAATTATTGATTGCATGGCACGTGTCAGCTATCAGTAGATGAATGGTATAAAAGAGGCAGCACCGCACGGGGAAGACAAAACGAATTCAAATGATCTTATTAAGGAGTACAAGACGGTTCTCTACTATTATTGTGCAACAGTTTAAAACTCTGTTTGGTTGGCAAATTAAAATGAATCTACTACACGGTTTGTTTTCGGTGCTATTTATCGTTGAATTTTCAGTAAGTTTTTTTCTATTCCTTTATCATTTTCACTTTTATCCAATAAAATACGATATTTCTGTAGAACTGAAAATTAACACGAAATTTCTTTTTCTAGGAACTTCAAGGAAAACGTAAGATATTTTGGTTTTCGAACACGCTTTTTACAATTCCAAAAGATTGTTTCATACTTTTATAATATTCAATTCGAAATTTCAACTTTTTTTCTAATGAACAGATGGCTTTTTCTCGCAAGCTCTTCTCAAGGGCGAAGTGATTGAAAACATGTCACAGGCAAAGTTTGTAGCTGGAATCCATGCCCCCGAAAGTAAGTCTGCTTTAGAATCATTTTCTTTTTTTTTCGTGTGAATTTTTGTCCGAAAAATTCAAATATTCTATCAATTTTGCTGGGGGCTGACCACGCTTCAGAAAATTGAAAATAATACTAGATTTTATATTAATGTATTATTTACAACTGTGACATTTTTCGTAGTTTCTCCAGAAACGATTCACTGCAAATGATAACTCTCAATTGTGCGTTGTTATTAAAACGAATATGAATTTCTGTCGGTTTACTGTCAGAAAATTTATCACATTGTGGTGGTCAAATGTATCGTTCATAGTGGATTATAGATTTAGTCAAATATTTGAGTCAACATACAGATGGTATTAAAACTGAATGATAGAAACGAATTTTGTAGATGAAAAATTCGCGGTTTCCCCCTAGCAATTTTGTGTGTGTGTTCATTTTTTCTTTAAATATTATTTCTTGTACTGAAAATGAAACGATTTTATTACAAAATATTTGCATGAATACAAAGACCATCCGAATGATCCCAATAGAGAAATGATGAGTATTTGTACCGCATTTATTCTGTCGAGCACGGAAATTATCACGAATGCCCATTGTGTGGATGACGCCCCATATGTTTATGTGGTAGCTGGTACGAAAGTTGTATCAGATGTAAACCAGAAAATTATAATCAAAGTCGAAAAAGAGAACGTTGTATATCACCCTTATTATAGTCATTTAATTTCTGATGCATTTGATATTGCCAAAATTACACTGAAAACGCCGCTAGAATTCAGCGATACCGTTGGTAGTATCGGACTCGTGGACAAGGATTACAAATTGAATAACCCATCAGAAGTGGTCACTGCCTATGGATATGGCGTGTTGAACGACAACGAACCAATGATATTGAGGCGTTGCGATGCGAACTATATGTCTGATGTCGAACGAGCCAAGACATCTAACATAAGTCAGACTTTGTACTTTACCACTGGTGAAACTACGAATGATGGCGAAATTATTACAAACGGCGATTCGGGTGGACCAGTCGTTTCAAAAACAAATGGCAAAATAGTGGGGATAACAATGGGTATGAATGGAACAGCACATGGTCGCGGAGCATTCCTTCCAATTACTCTATTTCTTGATTTTATTCGTGACCCAAAGGTATCTAACCACAATGCCCCAAATTTTATTTCAACAACGCAAACAAAATCATTTTTTGCATTAATTTCAGAGCGTGAAACCAATTCCACCTCCGCTTACACCTAACGAAGCTAAATTTATAGCCGATATAACGGTACCGGGAAGTAAGTATTCGAAATTCGAACTAAATCAAACCAATTTTACCATCACTTTTTTTTATTTCAAATAGAGGAGAGGCAAAAGTGGAGATTTTCATGATTTATAAACATAAATATTCATTCTGAGATGTTTTTCTATTACAGAATTTCTTACTGCCTTCAAGAATGTTCATGCAGATGCCGACGAAGATGTTCGAATGTTATTTAATGCAATTATTTTGTCGGAAACGGAGATTTTGACCTGTGCGCATAATGTGCTCGGCGCCCCATATGTCTACGTAACCGTTAATAAACTATCAAGAAATGCAACAAAAATTAAAGTCACTGAAAACCAGATAGAAATTCATGAGAAATACGCATTGTCTGGATTCGCATTTGACGTTGCCAAGATTACACTTGCAGAACCGTTGGAGTTCAACGATAACGTCGGCAGCATCGATTTGGTGAACAAGGATTACAAAATGAATGACCCGTCCGAAATGGTCACTGTCTACGGTGATATGGTATTGGATGGAACAATGAGAACGAGGCGTTATGATACAAAGTATTTGGATGGCGCCATTTGTAAACCGAAAGTGGGCGCTACATTTGATGCAAATCATTTGATGTGTTACACTTTAGATGCAAGCATGGGAACTCCCTTTACGTTTGGAGGTCCAATGATTTCGAAAAAGAATAACAAACTCGTGGGCATGACCATATTTCGTTCGCGTGGTAAGCCAGTTGTTTTTCAACCGATTGCACCGTTGCTTGATTGGATCCGGAGGCCAAATGTAAGACGTAATCAAATATGAAGAATATAGGCTTGAAAAAAGGGGTTTCAGACGCCTGAAAAAGCTGAATACCGTCACTTTTTTTGTTCTTGTCATTTGATGTTCAACAAAAGAACCGAATAAATTTGAAAATTTGAGAAAAATTCATTTTATTTTTCATTCGCCCAGGCGCAGTTATATAATTATAATTAATATATAAAAAGTTACAGTCTTAAATGTTAAATTTCCATAGATTATACTGCTGTTTTTTCGATTGAAATATCAATTTGCTAGCTGAGCATCGGTGCCTAGGGTTTACTATGCTCCAAAACAGTATATAAGATTTTGAGCAATTTAGTACATTTTAGTACATTTTCAGCACAATTTTAGTACTTTCGGAACTTTGCCTGCAAAGCTCTTTGGCAGTACTAAAAAGTTGCTTCAAATACCATTGCTCTATTTCGATCGGTTGAGGAGTTTAATAGTGGTAAAGCAGAACGATATTGAAGCCATTCGCTTTTTATATTTTCTGGCAATTCATCGTCCCATCTTAACTGCTTTTGCTTAGTATTTATAACGCTTTTTACTTGCTTCTCTATGGTTCTGCCTATTTTCCAAATTTCTTTCATTAATCTTTTCGCTTTTACAACAATGGGTGCGACAAAACCATTCGGATCGTGCAATTTGGCTATTTCGCTTAACCCATTAATTGCCCCTGGTCGTTTAAACGACCAGTGAATTTTGCTATTTCCCATATAGTGGGCGAGGGTCAGGTCGGTAACGTTACAATTCGCACGCCTATTTCGCCCATATCTCTGAAAATAATAATGAAAACCCAAAATTTCAAAAGTGCATATGATAGTGCTGCCCATACCACACATTTCAAAGAAAAGTTTTTATTTTTATCACCTATAGTATTGGACTTATGAACGATTAAAGGCGTCGGTAACGTTACAAAATTTTGGAAGTGATTTGCGAGGTTGCTCAACGTTTTTATGAAAATTAGCGAATCTACCCAGGCATAAATCTGTTGTCACTCATTATCGTAGATGAAGGATCAAAGAAAAGATAGAAATACAGGGTGTGCATGAAAAACTGTTTTGGTGGTCTCTGGACCCAGTAGGCGTAGAATCGGTAACGTTACAAAAAAAATCGGTAACGTTACACGTGCGATTTGAGTGCTCCAAAAACCAGAAAAGAAAATAAAAATCATATTTTCTCGAATTTATTATTAAAGTTTTGGCCCATTTCTACAAAAATATGTAAAGGTTCTTGTAGTTTTGTAAAAGCATAGTAGAAATCTTGTGCTTTCAAAAAACGGTCGGTAACGTTACAAAAATCGGAAAAAAATCGAAAATTTGTAGATTTTCATATGAAAAAATTATCCGAATTGGATAAAATTTTCAGAGAATATAAGTTTTATGAAATAATTAAGCTATGCAAAAATTCATTGCGATCGAACGACGTTAATATACTTTTTTGCTCCTTAGAAACATTTTTTGCGTGGTTTCGACTTACTGACCCTTGCCCAGTACTAAATCCGTTCCCCGATGAGGTATCCACTTACCTTTTTTTTTAAATTGTAGTTCGAGACGAGTACTAAACAATGAAAACAATATAAAATCACAAAAAAAATTCCAACTAAGTTGGACTGGTGTCGAGAAAAACACCTGTTTTTGGACTCTTTTTGGCCCCAGTGCTAAAAAAAATTGAAAAATATTTTATGCAAAAGTAATGATGCAGAATTCGTCTAAAAAGTCCATATTTTTTTATTCAAAATCAAATTTGGGGTTTATTTCAAGTTTTGTATATGCAATACACGTACAAAAATGGGTGGTCGTTTTTTCGACCACTGGCAGTTAAGGTGATCAAATGTGAAGGAAAACAAATTTTTTTCAATACATTTCATATACTTGAAATTTGATATGATGAATATTTGACTTATAATTATGCGATGAAAAACAAATTAAAATGCAAGACTCAGCATATTTTATGTAATAATATAATTGTTGAAACCATTAATTATGCTTAAGCTGTTTGATATCGATATCGCGATCTTATTTCGGTTTGATCGTATTTTAACAACGCAACCCCAGAGAAACCTCTTTGAATACCGCGTGTACGCGAATCGTCCGACACGAAATCTATTTCGCAAATTTGCCATCGACGAAATTAAAAAAAATATTAACTAATGGATTTATTCAGTTATTCGCTCGAACTATTCCAATAATAATAAAATTACACTACCTAAGAAATATACGCGCATCATCGAAACTGTTTTCAGTTCCGAAAATTCAGTTCCAATCGAGTATCGAATGGAAAAAATGTATTGACTGAACCAGATCGATAAGATTGCAAACGAAACATTTTGTATCCCAGAAAATGTCAATTTCATAAGTGTATCTTTGGCAAACCTTCGATTAATTTCATCACATTTTTATCTGTACGGCTAAAATAATAATCCAATAATCAAAATAATAACCTCAACATACCTTTTGTCGTCGTGATGAAGGTTTCGAACGTTTAGATCGAGAACGATTACTTATTGAATCCTCAGCGTCATCTCTTTCCGACGGCGATGTATTCATGGCAGAAGCAGCTGTTATGGGAGGCTGCAAAGGTGTAAAAAACATATATAAAAAGTTGCAATCAAGCTTCGGTCACTGTAATTTTACACAAAAAGTCGCGCACATACTCGCTGAGCCTGATAAGAAAACTTCAACAAGCATTGAAACAAAAGCGAAGCACACAGATCACAAACCAAAGAGTGAGTGCAATTGTGGAAAGATTGAAGTATTGCCATTGATTTGGGGAATTCGAAGTAAAATATGTGTGTGCCTGTACACTACCTAAGATATAATTTCCGACCACTACAATAACTCTCAATGAAGCAGCGGACTTGTCGGCACACTCGTGGATTTAGCATTTCACTTGCTTTGGCGATTCGTAAGTTGCCGAAGCATCATATATGCAGTGCACACGATATTTAACGTGAAAACCTATATCTGCTACATCGAAGTTGGCCGAGGTATGATTTCGTTTGCGCGTAGCGCGTAAGCAATTCACTTGGGATATATAGTATATAGGGATTCACGTTATATCGCAAGTAAATTGCTTATGCGACGCGCAAACGAAATCATACCTCGGCCAACTTCGATGTAGCGAATATAGGTTTTCACGTTAAATATCGAGTGCACTGCATATATGATGCTTCGGCAACTCACGAATCGCCAAAGCAAGTGAAATGCTAAATCTACGAGTGTGCCGACAAGTCCGCTGCTTCATTGAGCTGTAGGTGCTTCTACAATTATTTTCGGGCCACTACAATTAATTCTTGGTTATTAAAACACGTTTTATAGCAGTTTATAGCAGTTTTATTCCCATATTAAATATTAAACTCCCCTGGAGCCAAATAAGTTGTTGAAAACATCAAGGATCGGATGACTGATTTGAATTCTACATTCTTTCTACAATTTTATGGAACCTAGCATCAAAAGAGGAAGATTCAGTTTGTGGAAATTTCAATTTGTGGCCAAGATTTGAGTATTACCGATTTTGGACCAATTTTCGAGACTCGTCCCGATATCGAACGAACGGGCAGACATATTTGAAAACAGACAATTGATTTGAATTCTACAATTTATCTACAATTTTTTGGAACCATTCTTCATGCGAAAAAAAATTCGATTTGTGGAAAATACGTTTTTTGACCAAGATTTTAGTTGTCCCATTTTATAGCAGTTTTTCGATAGCCGATTGCTCAAAAAAATTGTTCCTACATAAAAAAAGTAAAAACACTACATTAAAGTACATAAAATCTACAATTTAAATCGCCCTACCCGAAGTCATTTCGGCAAATTTGCCAAGATTTGAATATTCATCTAAGATATACGCATCATCGAAACTGATTTTGCTCAGATAAGGAACTGAACCAGTAGTTGCAGAACCAGTTTGACTCCGATTCGGCAACTGCTGGTTCAGTTCGAATCGGGTATCGAATGGAAAAAAATGCATTGACTGAAGTGTATCAACATACCTTATTTTGTCGTCGTGATGAAGGTTTCGAACGTACAGATAGAGAACGATTACTTATTGAATCCTCAGAGTCATCTCTTTCCGACGGCGATGTTTTCATGGCAGTAGCAGCTGTCATGGGAGGCTGCTTTGATCCTCGCTCTAGTTGGAGCTGTTTAACTTTTTGTTTGAGCTGTTGCACCTGCTGTTGAGGTGTTTGTTGTGTGACTGTTGCAGCGGCAACAGCCAAATTGGCTTTCGAATGATTGTCCGATCGTGTTCTTTTTCGATTCGTTTGAATGATTGGTTTCAGTGATTCGTAAACATCGTCGATGGCTTTTTGCATTTCTTCCCGTGAAGACAGAAACAAGCGAATCGTGGCCCCAATCCACTGTTTTCCGTCTAAACGTATTGCTCGTTTTGCATCAGCAGCAGTGCTGAAATCATTTTTGCATCATCATCAAATGCTATCATTTTTGTGTTGATTATTTTTTACTTACCTAAAAACAATGAACGCTTCTCCGTTTTCACGCCCGACAATAATTACACCACCATCAGGTATTTTTAGGTTTTTAAACCAAACTCGAATGTCTTTTGCTCCTGCCGTTAACGCCAAATTTTGCAGCCGCACGACATTCATTTCTTTAAATTATTTTTTAAATTATTATGAACACAATGGTTTGTTTCAGTTTGTTATTCACAACCTTACATGTATGTTTGACAAGTAAGCCGCTGACAGCTACTCACAACCAACACGAAGTTGGCTGTCACTTTAGTTTCGACGCAGTGCGTAGGCAGCGTCTTAGGTGTCACATTTGACATATTATTTATAGCTGTGAAAACCATTAAATTTTCAGCCACCCCAGATGTACCCTAGGATACCTAGCCTATGAAAAACCTTCAAAAAATCGAACTTCCGTTCGAAAGGTACCCAAAATAGGCTACCCAGGTGAGTTTTATCATGCCCACTCGTTTTTTTCATCAAAATAATAGGGGCCCAGGAACACTCTAGCAACCTCTAAACCACCTTTTTGGTATTAAATCGGTATGTTAGTTCAAAATTCCTTGAAAAATCGAACTTTTGTTCAAGAGGTACCCAAAATAGGCTCCCAGGTGGATTTTATCACTCCCACTCAATTTATTTCATCAAAATAATAGGGGCGCAGGAACAACCTAGAACCCGCTAACCCACCTTTTTTTCGTATCCAATCGATATTGAATAGTGATTCTGATAGCGAATGTGATAGCGCCCCTGAAGTCTCATTTATTCTCAACAATGTGGATTTTCCCGAGTTGGAAGAGAATGGATTTTACTACGAAATCGGAGACTTGTGTGAAACTACAAAGAATACAGATCTAGAATCAACCACAAATCAAATTGTTGGAACAGAATTCTTAAATGATTTGACAATCGATATGTTCATTATAAATTTGGTGGACGCAAACAGAACCATACCATTCAATATGCATCCAGTCTGCTATGGGCGAAAACAAGAGCGATACAAACGACTTCTAGCCGAACGAGACGATCTACAAATAACATATCAGCGGCCAGGCCAGCTTTTTTGGCCATTACACCACTGTTAACTATACAGTCTACACGGGGAGGGCAATCATGGCAAAAGATTGGACGTATATCAACGAAACATCCCCACTCGCCTGTACCCCGGAGCACAGTATCAATTCATCGAACCGGCAACGTTGCAACCAGATGGATGTTCTTGTGGTATTTTCTCGATTGCATACGCCACAACCATCATTTTGGGACACAACCCTGCAACATACCATCTAAAAGTCAATCAGCACGAAACAGATAATTTAAAAAAGACCAGCGAACTACGAAATCACATCAAAAGAATATACGAAACAAACTACAGCTGTTTCCACAATAAATAATACACACATTTTGTTTTTGTTAAAGTG